TCAAATTGACTCTCCCCCATTCTTTTTTTTTTTTTTTTTAATAGCATCCTAAAGATGAGGCTGTTTCCTAAATAAGCCTTTAACTAATCCTTCCTCTTTTACCCCCACACCCTTCAATCCCTACTTCCACAGGTTCCTGGTAACTCTAATACATGAATCTTTGGTGGATTGATTAAATTATTGCCTCTTCTTATTACTGGTTCTCTCTGGTCTGCTACATCAGTTTCCATTCATTCATTTGCTTTACATGTTCTAACATTTGTTAATGGTGATGTATTTATTTTCAGAGCTGTCTTCTATTCATGACAAGTGGTATTTACTATTTGTGTGCCAAAGTATAGTTTTCTTTAAAATTAAGTTAATTTAAAAGGAGAGTTAGTATAAAGAGTTTTTAAAAGGAGAGTAATTGGAAAAATTTAATAATAGTATAGGTAGTTTGTGGCTATTGTAATGGAAATATTAAATTTAGGATACTCAGGGTCATAAAATTGGGGAATTTTGCTGAAAGGTCAGTGGTTTGAACTCAACAGCTGCTACAGGGGAGAAAAATGTGGCAGTCTGCTTCCGTAAAGATTACAGCCTTGGAAACCCTACGGGGCAGTTCTCCTCTGTCCTGTAGGGTCGCTGTGAGTCAGAATCAAGTGGACGGCGACGGGTTTGGTTTCTGGTTTTATGATCAGTAGTTATCTGATTGTTTTTCCTTCCTCTTATTTTCTTGCACTAATTAAGAAAGATAGATGTGCCTCAGTGTTTAATATCTGATTTTTTCCATTTTCCACCACACGTTTTTTCAATGTTTAGCTGTCATTTTTAGTTTCATGGTGCAACAATTTTGTCTTCTTATGTTTGATGTGCAGTTCTTTACAGTAAAACTGCTGCTAGAACAAAGTCAGCTGTGTTTATTTGACTTTGATAAGTCCCAATAATAATTTGAAACGAGATAAGTGTAGTTACTTATGGCACCGAATAGTTGCCAAAGTATTCATGATAAGACAGAGAATGATGAAACAGATCTACAAATTAGTAACCACATTACTTTTCAGTTCAGTGTGTATGGGGAATGGTTACACAATTGGTTACTCACTATGCTGGAGGCATGTGGTAACTGGCTGGCTGTCTGAGAGATGTTATATCACACAGTGGACACATCTGCCTTGTATGGTAATCAGAACTTAATCTGACTAGGTGGGACTAGATGGAGGGTCACTCTGTGACACTGAATGCCCAAGAGTGCCATTATCTTGTAACACATTCTCTCTTTTCTACCATATTGCTTGTCTGTGTGACATGATATCCAAGTATCATTTCTTATCATTTGGGCAACTGTCCAAAATGCGTGTCTCAAGACAAAAGTCCCTAGGAGATTTCCCATTTTTTGTAAAAGCATTTTATAAGATCTGCATTTGTGATGCTTTTAGGAGACATAATAACCATTTGTAATTGTTATTATTGTCATTTGAAACATAAAAGGAAAAGAATGGAGCTTGGATGCCAAAAAGTGATGGAAAAAGAATCAATGGTAAGATTTGGGCATAACAAACAGTACTGGATTGTTTTTTTTGATATATCTTGATAAGGAAAAAAGGAAGGCCATTCAAAGACAAATATATCCTTTAATACATCTGAGGTTTTTTTGTAATTAAAAATGAAAACTATGTATATAAGGATTTGTTATTAGTTGCTGTTAAGCAGGCTTTGACTCATGTAGACCTTATTTATAAAAGAATGAAATATTGCCTGGTACTGCGCCATCTTCATGATCGTTGGTATGTTTGAGTCAGTCGATGTTGCCATTATGTCAACCCATCTCATGAGGGTTTCCGTCATTTTTGATGATCCTCTACTTTACCAACCATGATGTCATTTTCCAGCAATTGGTCTTTCCCGATGACATGTCCAAAGTAAGCAAGCAAGTCTCATCATTCTTGTATACAAGAATAGACCATGCTAATAAAATATGTTAATAAAATTGGATCTTAATTGATTGAAATGTTTCATTACATTTATATTTTTATTATATTTTTAGTGACTGTTAAAAGATTAAATACACTAATGATTGGTGATAATCAAAGGAAAAATTCAGAAGAAATTCTGATCATGTTCATATATACAATATACATCTGATCAGGTTATTATTTCCATATCCCTAACTTGCTTCCTATTTAGGGGAATTATTCCTTTTAAAAAAAAAAATTTTTTGTATTGTACTTTAGATGAAGGTTTACAGAACAAATAGTTTCTCATTAAAGTTAGTATACATATTGTTTTATGACATTGGTTAACAACCCCATGACATGTCAACACTCTCCCTTCTCAAACTTGGGTTTCCTATTACCAGCTTTCCTGTCCCCTCCTGCCTTCTAGTCCTTGTCCCTGGACTGTTGTACCCCCTTAGTCTCATTTTGTTTTATGGGCCTGTCTAATCTTTGGCTGAAGGGTGAACCTTGGGAGTGACTTCATTACTGAGCTAAAAGGGTGTCTGGGGGCCATACTCTCGGGGTTTCTCCAGTCTTTGTCAGGCCTGTAAGTCTGGTCTTTTTTTGTGAGTTAGAATTTTGTTCTACATTTTTCTTCAGCTCTGTCCAGGACCCTCTGTTGTGATCCCTGTCAGAGTAGTCAGTGGTGGTAGCTGGGTACCATCTAGCTGTACTGGACTCAGTCTGGTGGAGGCCCTGGTAGTTGTGGTCTATTAGTCCTTTGGACTAATCTTTCCCTTGTATCTTGTTTTCTTCATTCTCCCTTGCTCCCGAAGGAGTGAGACCCGTGGAGTGTCTTAGATGGCTGCTCACAGGCTTTTAAGACCCTGATGCTACTCACCAAGGTAGAATGTAGAACATTTTCTTTATAAACTATGTTATACCAATTGAGCTAGATGTTCCCTGAGACCATGGTCCCCACAGCCCTTGGCCCAGCAATTTGGTCCCTCAGGGAGTTTGGATGTGTCTATGGAGCCTCTATGACCTTGCCTTGTATAAGTTGTGCTGTCTTCAAGGGGAATTATTTCTACTTAGGGTTCTGAAGTGTTACGTTGTTGAGGAATCTATTTGTTTAAGATGTATAACACAATGCTGTACTTAATATTTAAGGGTGTTGCTACTAACTTACCATCAGTTACAAAATATGTTGCTAATCATTATTTTTTAGTACTGATAGTGGATTTGCATTTTTTCCAATCCACTTTACTTAATGCTCTTGGAAATCAATAACTTTTCTCTCTCCCACCATCCTTTTTCTCCTCTCTCCTTCTATCTTTCCTCCTTCTCTGTTTCTCTCTCTCTCTTCCCTAATAGATTTGGTGCAAATGGGTAGGAAATACAAGATAAATCATATTAAAGTAACTCTACTCCCTTGCAAACCTTTAATATTTATTTTGTTTTTCCTTTAAAAAAATGTCTTCCAGTTTGCTTCAGTCTATCTTTATTATGCTGTCATTATGTTCTCAGAATGTGAATAAAATCTCTCAGTCATTTATCCAGGGCCATCTGAGCAATTCTGGGGGGAGGAAATTTGTTCAATATAAAATGACAGCATATTACAGAGGATCTGAGAAATCTGTTGTCGCAGTCTACAAACATTCATTGACAGACTACCATATGCCATGCTGGAGATAGAGTGGTGAAGGGGAAACTGATAAGAAATTGGTAAAGAAGTTTTAGAGTTAACAAGATGGTTCCAGATAGTAGTAAGCCCTATAATGAAAAAATGGAAAGGTGTGACAGAGAGTGACTGGTGTATGTGTGGAGCCCTTGTAGTACAATGGTTAAGCGCTCAGCTGCCAACCAAAAGATTGACAGTTTGAATCCACCAGCCACTCCTTGGAAACCCTATGGGGCAGTTCTACTCTGTCCTATAGGGTTGCTATGAGTCAGAATAAACTCGACGGCAATGGATTTGGTTTTTTTCTTTGTTTTCGTTTCGGTGTGTCTGTGTGCATGATTATTTTCAAATCTATACCCAAACCCACTGCTGTGGAGTTGATTCTGACTCATAGCGACCCTATAGGACAGAATAGAACTGCCCCATAGGGCTTCCAAGGTTGTAAATCTTTATGAAAGCAGACTGCCAGGTTTCTTCTGTGGAGCTGCTGGTGGGCTTGAACTGCAGACCTTTCGGTTAGTAGCCAAACGCTTAACCACTGTGCCACCAGAGCTCCTTTTCTAATCTACAGTGTCCTTTTATTTGCTTCTTTACATAAACAGGCTTTTAGAAACCACTGCCTGCAGGCTGAAAGATGAATGACAGGGGTTAGACAGTGGTATGACCAAGCTCCCAGCATCTTCACTTCCTGTGACCTGCTTGCTTAGCTGGATATCGCTCTTCTCAGAGGCTCCTAAAGGAGGGAAGAGTCAGGAGAAACTGCTCATTTCTTGTATAGCCATTTGGAGATTTATTGGCTAAGAAGAATTCCACATGGAAAGTCATTGTGAGACAGCAATGGTTAGTGATAGCGATGAGAATAGCAAGATTTAGAAAACACACCATATTTATTTTAAAGCTATTTGGGGACTGGAGCAGAACCTCTGAAACATTATGAATGCAACTTCTCAATTTGGTGGAAGAGAGAGGACAATACTTTCTTTTGGCTGGACTTTGCAAGTCATCTGTTTATATTTTTGCTTACTGAGTTTATTTTCCTCTCTAACAATCAGAAAAATAGCTTCAGAAAAAGGCACTTTCCTTGGTTGTCAATACATTCTGAAATTGTTTCCCACTATTATTATAGCCTGTTATAAAGAACTGTAAGTAGAACCTGGGTGAAAATCATGCTTCGAATCCCCTCTGGTGGACAGATATACTCAAATTGGTTTTCTTTTGTTTTGGTTTAATCATAGGAATTTTCAACGATTTCTTTCTGTCATCCTTTGCTCTTGCTTTCATTTAGAAATTTTATTTAGACAAATGGAAAAAAAGAGAAAAACAGTTTCAGAGTTCATAATAAAAAGAAAAGGAGTTAATAAAGCAAACTGTTTTGAAATTACCATTATTTATCTCTATTATAGAGGCAAACCAAACTTATTGGACATGGGCTCTTTGATGATCAAACCAATTCAACGTGTGATGAAATACCCTTTATTACTGTGTGAACTTCGGAATTCTACCCCTCCTTCTCACCCAGATTACAGAGCACTGGAGGATGCCTTTGCTGCTGTGAGAAACATTAACGTAAACATCAATGAACTTAAAAGAAGGAAAGATTTAGGTAAGAAGAGGTATGATGTACTGGGTGTTTCCATGAATGGAGAGTTCTGTTTATGTTTCAGAGACTCAGAATCAGGAAAGGTCTAAGTTGTTATAGCAGCTGCAGTGAACACGATCACTTGATGTCGAGCATTAGGGGCTGGGGAGGACAGCATGGTTTTGTTTGCCAGCTAGGTCCAGGAGAAGTCCATGAAGCCAAAAAATGACAATTTCTGATCAAACAGTCACATATTCAGCCTCTTTTGACCACTGTAGACTTGGTAACATATCTGTGGGCTGAAGATACCCATAGCACATATAGCCCTCCAGTCACTGGTGGTATTTGTGGTAAGGAGGAGACATGGGCAGCTGGTTGCAGCAGCAGGAACCTAGAGAGGGAAAGTGGCCTGCCTGGAAGGCACAGACCAGGTGAGGAGGCCCAGCTAGTACATCAGGCTCATTTGGTCCTGGCACACAAAGAATGGAGATTTTTCAGCAGTAATTGCTCCATTGAACGGAACAAGTATACTGGTTTCTACAATTTTAAGTTATTGTTACTTTGCTTTTTGTGTTTTGAAAATTTATTGTATTTTATGTGTTATTTTATTTATTGCAATTATTTTTATTACTATTTGTAAGCTAAGACCTAAAATTAGTTTCTAAAGTAAAATGTAGATTTCAAAAGAGGAGGGATAATTACATGGTTCTTATATATTCCAGATACAGTAGTGCATTAGGCTCAGAGCTTATCTTAGGCCTGGCCAGACCATAGGGCCTCTCTTAGTGGGATATATGTCCATAAAATTCTTAACTGGCTTTGTGCTTCTAAGATTAAATCACAATTAGACATTAAAGCAATGGCATGTAGTTTAGAGTTAAATGGTCCAACCACTTCATTTATTTTTGTTTTCTAGCTTTGTATTAAAGAATTAATGTGTTTGTATTAATAAATTAATATTATATTGAAAGTCATAGGGTGAAGAGTGAAAAGTTACAGAGTAAAAGACGCTATAAACATAATGAAAAGACAGTCCACAGACAAAGGACTACTACCCAGAATATAGAATTATTGATATTAAATCATTAATAAAAAGATATTTTAATAGAGAAAGGGTTAATAATAAGTAAGCAATCACAGAAATATCAATATATTTAAAAATGTTAAGCTTCACTAGTAATCAGAGAAATGCAAATTAAATTCACAATAGGATACCACGCCAAGCCTAACGATTGGCAAAAATGTTTTGAAATAGGTAATAGTAAACGCTGAATCGCAAACTGCAGATAAGAATGTATGTTGGAAACCCCACTTTGGAAACCTATTTGACAATATCTAGTAAAATTGAAGATGAACATACCCAAGTCAGAGAAAATCTGTTTCTAGGTGTTTGCTCTAGAGACAGTGGCACACGAGCTCAATGAGGCATGTACTAGTAACTAGCATAGTTCATAATAGCAAAAAATAAAAATAAAAAATTGAAAATGGGTTATATTTATCCAGATAATAAAGATCTATATACATACCTATTGCCGTTGATTCGATTCTGATTCATAGTGACTCTTTATGACAGAGTAGAACTGAACTGCCTCGTAGGGTTTCCAAGGCTGTAAATCTTTACAGAAGCAGACTGCCACATCTTTCTCCTGCAGAGCAGCTGGTGGGTTTGAACTACCAACCTTTTAGTTAGCAGTTGAGTGCTTAACCACCAAGGATCCTTACGTATATATACATATATACATGTATACATATATTTATGATATGTAATGGATAAATTATGATATCATGAGAAGATAAAAATGAATTAACTAAAAGTACATATATCAACTTGGATTAACCTCAAAAACACATCATTAAGTTAAAAAAGTAAATTAGCAAGTTACAGAAGAATATGTGCAGTGTGGTACCATTTTAATACAGTTTGAAAACATTAAAAATAATACTATGTATTATATGGCTACACAGTAAAAAATAGATACAGTTGTAATGATCCCAAAATTTGGGGTATCAATTCTTTCTGGGGATAAAAGATGGAATCACAGAGGCTTCAAGTGTTATCATTATTATTTTTTTTAGTAAAAAGATGGGAAGCAAATAGGGCAAAATGTTAGGATTTCACAAAGCTAGGAGGTGGATAATGGTTGTTATCATATTTTTTGGAGTCCTGGTGGCACAGTGGTTAAGGTCTCAGCTGCTAACCAAAAGGTCAGCAGTTCCAATCCACCAGCCACTCCTTGGAAACCCTATGGGGCAGTTCTACTCTGTCCCACACGGTCGCTATGAGTCGAAATCGACTCCACAGCAACAGGTTTGGGTTTTTTTTGTTTATCGTATTCTTAACATGTCAGCTCTTTGTATCCATGGATTCGACCAACCAAAGATGGAAAATATCTGGGGGTGGGGGGAAGAGAGAAAGTTCCAAGAAGCAAAACTTGACTTTGCTGCTGCGCCAAGCACTATGCTGAATCCACACGAATGCAGTAATGTGTAGGCATCCCTGCTGTAGCCTCCTGCTATTTCACAGATCCTCAGTCTCTCTCCAGTACTTGTTGTTTGGGCATTGTTCACTTTGCATCTTGTCATTATTCCCTAAACAATACAGTATAACAACTATTTACATAGCATTTACATTATAAGTAATCTAGAGATAATTTAAAGTATATGGGAGGATGAGCGTATGTTAATATGCAAATACTGTGCCTTTTATATAAGGGACTTGAGCATTCTCAGATTTTGGTTTCCAAAGGGATCCTGGAACCAATTCCCTGTGGATACCAAGGGATGCCTGTTTTGTTCCATTTGCTTACACTATTTCAAAGTTCTAAAGTAGAAAATGTTTCCACTCCCGTGATTCCAGTTTGCATAGCTAATATTTTATAAAGTTTTCTTCAGATTGGTTTTTTTCTTGTTTTATTTTTCTTTCTTTTCTCTTCTCTCCTGCTCTTCTCTCCCCTCCTCTCCTACTTCCTCCTACCTTCCCCTTCCTTCCTGCCTGCCTGCCTGCAACATATATGGTACTACAATTTGCTTTTTTTTCCCTTAACTTATCCATATATCAAACTGAGAAAGGTTTGAAATTGTCAAGGATTTCATTTTACTTGGATCCACAATCAACACCCATGGAAGCAGCAGTCAGGAAATCAAAAGATACATTGCATTGGGCAAATCTGCTGCAAAAGACTTCTTCAAAGTGTTGAAAAGCAAAGATGTCATCTTGAAGACTAAGGTGCGCCTGACCCAAGCCATGGTATTTTCAATCGCATCATATGCATGCGAAAGCTGGACAATAAATAAGGGAGACCGAAGAAGAATTGATGCCTTTGAATTGTGGTGTTGGAGAAGAATATTGAATATACCATGAACTGCAAAAAGAATGAACAAATCTGTCTTGAAGAATTATAATCAGAGTGCTCCTTAGAAGGAAGGATGATGAAACTACGTCTTACATACTTTGGACATGTTGTCAGGAGGGATCAGTCCCTGGAGAAGAACCTCATGCTTGGTAAAGTAGAGGGTCATTGAAAAAGAGGAAGACCCTTAATGAGATGGACTGACACAGTGGCTGCAGCAATGGGCTCAAGCATAACCATGATTGTGAGCATGGCACAGGACCCGGCAGTGTTTCGTTCTGTGGTGCATAGGGTTGCTATGAGTCGGAACCGACTTGACGGCACCTAACAACAACAACAATCCATATATCATGAGCATCCTTCCAGTTAATGTTGCCTTCTTTTTGATGGATCCATAGTATTCCATTTTATGAGTGTACTATAATTTATTAAGCTACTTCCATATGGCTAAACTTTTAGATTTTTTCCAATATTTTGCTCTTAGAAAAAAATACTGAAGGGAACAAAACTCTGGATGGGCTTCCTAATCATAGACTATGAATATTTACTTTTTTGTAATATTGTGCCAAATTATTTTCTTCAAAAACTGTGTTGGTTTAGTCCTCATCAACGGTCTATGAGTGGGAAGGCAAATTCCTCACATTTTTACCAACACTGAATGTTAGGAGTATTTAACATTTGGAACAATATGAAAGGTGAAAAATCACGCAAAAGATAAGTGAGTAAAGCTCAGAGAGGTGACTCTATTTGCTCAAAATCTCTGTTAGTGGAGAGCCACTCTAGAATCTGGGGTCTTCTTACTTTGGGTAAAGTGGTCTTTTCATTAGTCATGTCTTGAGGCTTTGTTCCAGAGGCCCCAGGTAAAATGTACATGTGTTGTCTATGAAAAAAGAAAGAACTTTTTTCCAGTATCAAGAATTTCTTCAGTGTAGGAGGCAAATGAACCTTGGACCTTGACGTGGGGTCCTTGGGCAGCTGATTTTCTGAAGGGCATGGGTTGGGTGCCTGGGGGTGTGACTGGGCAGGAGACATGGCATCTACAGGAGAGGCTCCAATCATATGGATTTTGATCATGAACGTATAGATCTTGAATACTTTGGGCAAAGCACACACTGTCTATGCTGCGTATGTTCAGATATCTTACTGTATTCTTCTGTTGCAGTTCTAAAATATAAGAAGAATGATGAGGATGAATCACTTAAAGACAAACTGTCTAAGCTAAGTATTCATTCAATTAGCAAGAAATCAAAAAGAGTGACAAATCATCTAAAGATCCTGACCAGAGGAGAATCACAGGTAATTTTCCTTCTGGAGCCACATACATTTTACCAGGGAACATGAGTGCTGACATTTTTGGGAGATTTTGTTTTGTTGTTATCAGACCTATTTCTAGAACTCTGAGAATCAAGGTAATGGCCCTGTGCTTTTCCTTTCTCTCCTTTGGAGGTAAAAATTGGGTGGAAGGAGCCCCTGCATGGTGCAAATGGTTAACATCCTTGGCTGCTAACTGAAAGTTTGGCAGTTCAAGTTTACCCAGAGCACGTCACAAGAAAAGCCTGGTGATCTACTTTTGAAAAATCGATCATTGAAAACCCTGTGGTGCACAATTCTACTCTGACCACACGGGGTTGCCATGAGTCAGAGTCGACTCCACCCACTGGACAGTTTTTTTATACTGGTTAATGGATAGGGATCAGGATGGTTTTGACACTGTGTTAGCTGTGGTCCTTCCGCTTAAGAAACAAAGGAAAGGTAAGAAAGTGGCTCAACAAGAAATGACCCAAGAAACCTCGTGCTCACCATTAACTAGCACATAATTTCCCTCCATCCCCAAGGCAATGCCTCCTTCCATTCCTATTTTATTTTGGCTTTTTAACATTTCACTTTTCTTTAGGGTGCCCTTGATGTTCATCTTATCTTTTCACTATTTAAAAAAAAGTATTTAGATGCATAACTTAGTGTGATTTCTTTCCTTCACCTTCTCCCGCTCAACTCCCTGCCCTCCCCAGATGCACATTATATTAGCAGGTAACTGTTCTGTGTCAGCTGGTTAGCCTGGCTTGAAACACCTTCATCTCAACTCCTAATTAATAATGTATGGGTTAGCAAAGGCTCTCAAACTTTAATGTACCTAAGAATTACCTGAGGAGCTTGTTAAAGGACAGAACCTTATTCCAAGTTTCCACTGGTGGAAGGGTGGAAACGAAAAGTCTGTATTTTTGCAAACACCCTATACCAGGTGTTTTCAAGCTAACGATCTTGAAGGAAGTGATCAATGGAATGCACTTTGAGAATCACAAAATAGAAAGTTCATGGCCCTGAGGTAGTAATGCAGTGCACTTCTAACCAAAGTAGGAAAGACAGTTCTTAGCATATTATATAGTCCTTTTTTTCCCTTCCTTTCTCATTTCCCTGCTTTTTACACTTATTATTTTAATATCTCTAAGTATAGAGTTGTTATGAGTCAAAATCAACTTGACAGCAACGCATTTAGGTGTTTAATATGTCTAACTATTTAATATCTCTAAGGATTTTCCCCTTTGCATCTGTCATTTTGTCATTCTGTGGGGGCTTGCGTGTTGCTGTGATGCTGGAAGCTACGCCACTGGTATTCAGATACCACCAGGCTCACCCATGGTGGATAGGTTTCAGGTAAGCTTCCAGACTAAGACAGACTAGGAAGAAGGAGCTGGCAGTCTACTTCTGAAAATAATTAGCCAGTGAAAACCTTATGAGTAGCAGTGGAACATTATCTGAGACAGTGCTGGAAGATGAGCCCCCCAGGTTGGAAGGCACTCAAAAGACGACTGGGGAAGAGCTGCCTCCTCAAAGCAGAATCGACCATAATGACATAGATGGTGTCAAGCTTTTGGGACCTCCATTTGCTGATGTGGCACCACTCAAAATGAGAAGAAACAGCTGCAAACATCCATTAATAATCAGAACGTGGAATGTACGAAGTATGAATCTAGGAAAATTGGAAATCATCAGAAATGAAATGGAACACACAAACATTGATATCCTAGGCACTAGTGAGCTGAAATGGACTGGTATTGACCATTTTGAATCGGACAATCATATGGTCTACCATGCTGGGAATGACAACTTGAAGAGGAATGGCATTGCATTCATCGTGAAAAAGAACATTTCAAGATCTATCCTGAAGTACAATGCTGTCAGTGATAGGATAATACCCATATGACTACAAGGAAGACCAGTTACCAGCTTCTGCAGTCTGAAATTGATCGAATATGCAATCAAAATGCATTAATAATTACTGGTGATTGGAATGCGAAAACTGGAAACAAAGAAGATCGGTAGTTGGAAAACATGGCCTTGGTGATAGAAATGATGCCAGAAAGTGCATGATAGAATTTTGCAAGACCAACGACTTCTTCATTGCAAATACCTTTTTTCACCAACATAAACGGCGACTATACCCATGGACCTCACCAGATGGAATACACAGGAATCAAACTGAATACATTTGTGGAAAGAGAAGATGGAAAAGCTCAATATCATCAGTCAGAACAAGGCCGGGGCCAACTATGGAAAAGACCATCAATTGCTTATATGCAAGTTCCAGTTGAAACTGAAGAAAATTAGAACAAGTCCACGAGAGCCAAAGTACGACCTTGAGTATATCCCACCTGAATTTAGAGAACATCTCAAGAAAAGATTTGATGCGTTGAACACTAATGCCTGAAGACCAGATAAGTTGTGGAATGCCGTCAAAGACTTTATACATGAAGAAAGCAAGAGGTCATTAAAGACAGGAAAGAAAGAAAAGGCCAAAATGGACGTCAAAAGAGACTCTGAAACTTGCTTTTGAACATCGAGTAGCTAAAGCAAAAGGAAGAAAGGGTGAAGTAAAAGAGTTGAACAGAAGATTTCAAAGGGCACCTCGAGAAGACAAAGTAAAGTATAATAACATGTGCAAAGAGCTGGAGATAGAAAACCAAAAGGGAAGAACATGCTCAGCATTCCTCAAGCTGAAAGAACTGAAGAAAAAACTTAAGCCTCGAATCACAATAGTGAAGGATTCTATGGGGAAAATATTCTACGGGAAAAATATGTATGTAGGAAGTATCAAAAAAAGATGGAAGGCATACACAGAGTCATTATACCAAAAAGAATTGGTCTACATTCAACCATTTCAAGAGGTAGCATATGATCAGGAACTGATGGTACTGAAGGAAGAAGTCCAAGCTACACTGAAGGCATTGGTGAAAAACAAGGCTCCAGGAAATTGATGGAATACCGATTGAGATGTTTCAACAAACAGATGCAGCACTGAAGTGCTCACTCGTCTATGCCAAGAAATCTGGAAGACAGCTACCTGGTCAACTGACTGGAAGAGATCCATATTTCTGCCTATTCCCAAGAAAGGTGATCCAACCAAATGCGGAAATTATCTAACAGTATCATTAACATCACACGCAAATAAAATTTTGCCAAAGATCATTCAAAAGTGGCTGCAGCAGTATATCGACATAGAACTGCCAGAAATTCAGGCTGGATTCAGAAAAGGACGTGGAACCAGGGGTATCATTACCGATGTCAGATGGATCCTGGCTGAAAGCAGAGAATACCAGAAAGATGTTTAGCTGTGTTTCATTGACTATGCAAAGACATTCAATTGTGTGGATCATAACAAATCATGGATAGCATAGTGAACAATGGGAATTCCAGAACACTTAATTGTACTCATGAGAAAGTGTACATAAACCAACAGGCAGTTGTTTGGATAGAACAAGGGGATACTGTGTGGTTTAAAGTCAGGAAAGGTGTGCTTCAAAGTTGCATCCTTTTACCATACCTATTCAATCTGTGTGCTGAGTAAATAATCCGAGAACCTGGACTACATGAAGAGGAACATGGCATCAGGATTGGAGGAAGACTCATTAACAACCCGCGTTATGCAGATCACACGACCTTGCTTGCTGAAAGTGAAGAGGACTTGAAGCACTTACTGATGAAGAGCAAAGACCACAGCCTTCAGTATGAATTACACCTCAACATAAAGAAAACAAAAATCCTCATAACTGGACCGATAAGCAACATCATGATAAACGGAGAAAAGATGGACGTTGTCAAAGATTTCATTTTACTTGGATCCACAGTCAACACCCTTGGAAACAGCAGTCAAGAAATCAACTGTCATTTTGCACTGGGCAAATCTGCTGCAAAAGACCTCTTTAAAGTGTAGAAAAGCAAAGATGTCTAAGACTAAGGTGCACCTGACTCAAGCCATGGTATTTTCAATCGCATCGTATGCATGTAAAAGCTGCACAATGAATAAGGAAGACTGAAGAAGAATTGATAACTTCAAATTGTGGTGTTGCTGAAGAATATTGAATATATCATGGACTGCTAAAAGATGAACAAATCTGTCATGGAAGAAGTACAGCCAGAATGCTCCTTAGAAGCAAGGATGGCGAGACTACATCTTACATACTTTGGACATGTTATCAGGAGGAATCAGTCCCTGGAGAACGACATCATGCTTGCTAAAGTAGAGGGTCATTGAAAAAGAAGAAGACTCTCAATGAGATGGGTTGACACAGTGACTGCAACAATGGGCATAACAACGATTGTGAGGATGGCACAGGACCGGGCAGTGTTTCTTTCTGTAGTACATAGGATCACTACGAGTTGGAACCGACTCGACAGCACCTAACAACAACAATAGCTAAGGTTTTTAGTTTGAACAAGAGGCAACTATAGGGTGGTCCAGCATTGGTGTTAGATGGCTCATCCTATCCACCTCACTCTTTAGCTGCTGTGATCTTTTTTCCTTCGTTGATGAGGTTTTTGAAGCTTTCTCACCACTTAGATAGAAGTGATCCTCCCCTCCTCTGAATGCATAAATCGCTGACTGCACCCTAATCTCTGCAGGCTTTATACTTGTAGGACTCAGCACAGGGCAGAAATTGAGAACGAGGTCTTTGAAGTCACCCAACCTGGATTTGAACTCCTTCTCTACCACTTAATAGAGATTTGCCTTTGGGCACATAAATTTAATTTGTTGTTAGCTGCCATTGAGTTGGCCTAGCACAAGAGTGGAGCCCTGGTGGTGCAGTGGTTAAGAGCTTGTCTGCTAACCAAAAGGCTGTCAGTTCGAATCCACCAGCCACTCCTTGAAAACCCTATAAGACAGTTCTACTCTGTCCAATAGGGTCGCTATGAGTCGGAATTGACTTGATGATGATGAGTTAACACGTGTACTTGTGAAAAGAAGAGTAAATGAAATGATACGTATAAAGAAACATCTGATACAGTGTGTAAACAATATATATAAGCTGTCATTATTATCATTATATCATTGACTTGTATTGTTGTTTATTTTCTTAATGGACAGACTTCTTTCCCATGTGGATATAAACTCATTCAGGCATGGCTTTTATCATTCTTGTACTTATTTCCTTATATTTTTCTAGGAGCTCACCTAGTCCATTACATTTAGAAGGCAACTCCAGGTCCCTCCTCTCAGTATAGAACTATAATGTGGGAACTTTGAGACATTTATGGTATGTAGTCACAAATCAGGAAAAGAAAAGTCAAGACATTAAACTAAAGGCAACAGTGATATGATTGAATTGGGAACTCATTTGAGAAGAGATTGTAGTAGCCTCCATGGGCATGTATAAACACAGTACATACATTTCACCCCAGTCTTTGGGATTTTGCTTCTGGTGCTCAAGAGAATTCTGCTGAGGAATGATAGCAGGTTCCAATTCTGGGCAGGCTCATGTATAAGCTGTTACAGTCTTTAACATATTTATCATCAGCTTCTCATATTTTTCAATTGTGAGCTAAAAGTGAATTGTAGTTAGAATAGCCTGAAGGGATATTAATTAGATTTTTTTCCCTTAATCTTTTGATATGATGTCCTGTCAGCAATGAAGCATTTCACTGTTAATCAGAAAATCAGCTGCATAGGCCAAACTGGAAAAGAGATAAATCTCAAATCAATCAATTTTGCACTTGTCAGCAGCTCAGGTGAAATATTTGGTGGAGTTAGGGTATAAAACTATTACCCAAGAGGAAGAGTCTATACAATTCATCATGCATTTATTGAATTTTCATGTACCACGCACTGTTAGAAATTGGGACTACAAAGACGAACCAGGGTCTGAGTTCAGACTGCCTGAGTTTGAATCTTGCTCCCACCTGTTAACGTGGGCAAGGATCTTTACCCCCACCCTTTATTAGTTAGGGTGAAGTCCCTGGGTGATACAAACATGAATGTGTTTGACTGCTGACTGAGTCTACCCAGAGACACCTCAGAAGAAACACCTGATGATCTACTTCCAAAAAATCAGCCATTCAAAACCCTATGGAGCGCAGTTCTAGTCTGACATGCATGGGGTAGCCTTGACCTTGAGTCAGAATCGACTTGGCAGTAACTTTTTTTTTTTTCAATTATGGTAAAGAATAAGCTTCTGTCATACAGAGTTTTCAAATATTAGTAGCTTAAATCAGATAGTCATTTATTTCCCTTTCTGATAAATAGTCCTGAGGTGAGTCTAGATGGACTCGACTTCACAAGATCCTTCAGGGACCCAGTTCCTCTCAATTTTTTGCTGTGCTGTTCCCTAAAGGTATTGTCTTCATCTGCCTGGTTGAAGCTGGCTCACTGCCATGTCTTCATCCAAACCCCAAGGACACTGTTATAAAGCCAAGACTCTGAAAAGGCACACATCACTTTCACTCACATCCTATTTGCCCAACCCCAATTACAAGGCCACAGCTAACTGCAAGGAGTCTGGGAAATGTCATTGCTAGCAGGGCAGTCCTGTGTCCAGCTTACACTAGAGGTGGGGGTTCTAGTAATAAAAGGACAATGGGGATAATTTTAACAGCCTGCTGTACCTCCCTAAACTTCTGTTTCTTTATCTCTAAAATGGGATTAATAATAGCACCTTTCCCATGGGATTGTGTAAGAATTAAATGAGAAAATGGGAGAAAGGTTTTAGTACAGTAGCTGGAACATGTCCTTGTTGTTGTTAGGTGCCATCAAGTCGGTTCCAACTCATAGCGACCCTCGGCACCACAGAATGGAACACCTTATGAATCTGGAACATAGTCAGTGTTGAATATATGTAAACTCTTGTTATTATTAAGACAAATGTACTTAATCTCAAAATGCTTACAATCCATCAGTGGAGAGAATTGCTTAAATAATTAACTAGTGTTGTAAGAGCTCATAGAATCGCTTGTTTTCAACCATGTCTGAGGGAGAATTAACAGAATAGGTGACATTTGAGCTGGTCTTTGAAAAAGAAACAGGATTTACAGGCATAAAAGTGGTAGTATTGTATTGCAGCAGAAGAAAACTTTATGAGAAAGGCTTGGTTATAGAGAAAGGCAAGAAGTAGAATCAGGCAATATTTCCCGCAGTGTGATCCTGGAACCTCTTACTTTCAGAATCATCTCAGCCCCAGCTGAGCTATACTAAATAAAAGCTCTGGTGATGTGCCCTTGGAAACTAAATTAAAAAAAAATCTTTCCCGGCATGTTCTTATACACACCAAACTGAGTTCGAGCATGGAGATCTTTAGACAGGAGGGTGTTAGATTTTGTGTAGACTACAAAGACCTAGGCTTCTGTTTAAAGAAGAGGTTTCTAGATGAACAATATTAAGGGATTTAAAAACCAAATGAAATGTCATCATTTCCTGTCCATTCAGTTTTAAGGTCAACCATCTTAAATAAAGATGAGCATATGAATTGAGAACAGCTATGGTCATTACCAAGAACCAAACTGAATAATACATATTCCATGAAATTTTAGCATTTTCCAACAGATTTTGCCAGCATGTGCCTCAGTCTGATCTTATTTTGTAGTCATTTTGATTGCCAAGAAATACTTCTTACCTCTAAGAGCAATAACAAGTGCTTCCTCTTAGAAATTACCAAAAGTATATGATAAAGCACATTTTTCTGAATGTTAGTAGGTACACATGTATGATGACAAAAAAATAATAACTGAACAAATTTGATTTATCTTAACTCTGCTGGGTTATCCTAATAGAAGAGCTATTTTTGCTAAGATTATATACCTTCCTTCATATTTGAGTAGATAATCATCACATTTCTTTAAGCATGAACTTAAAAATATTTCCTAAATAACCTCTGGGAAAGAAATTGGAATGAGTCATAATAGCAAAACAATAATTTCCAGTCAATAGGTCTAATTCACCTATTTTATAAAACCAAACACGTAATAAAATTTAAGAGTACATGCATAATACATACCATTAAAAAACAGCAGAGAAAAATTTTACAGTCCTATAGCTACTATGATATAGGTGAAGCTATGTGAAAACTGAACAGCATCAAATTAAGCTGTGCAATGTGGCTTTGCTACATTAACTGAACGTCAGCTGTGCTGTATGCCAACACAGATACTTCTGTATAAGACAGTCAGCATCTTATAAAAGGTTTCCCTCCCCAAAATGAGCTTTTGTAATGTGCTGGACCAATAACAGAAACCCTGGCGGTGTAGTGGTTAAGAGCTATGGCTGCTAACCAAAAGGTCAGCAGTTCAAATCCACCAAGTGCTTCTTAGAGACCCTATAGGACAGTTCTCCTCTGTCCTATAAGGTTGCTATGAGTCAGAATTGACTCAGTGGCAAGGAGTTTGGGTTTTTTTGGGGGGGATATTTGTTTTTGTTTTTAATACCAGATTCATTTGAGTTTTAAAAATAATTTCATGTATATTTTAGGTGAAAGACAACACTTTTAACAGAGAAGAAAAGCTATTTAGATGTTTAGAAAAGACTGTGAGGCATTGTGTGAAGAACATTTCACTCTGTCTTCAACAAATACAGGTAGGTAAGATACAAGTGTTTTCAATATTTCTACATGAATATATTTCCACGGTTATTTTGAAAAGTAAATGTGACTGTTCATTCGTTTACATCAGGACATTTACTATATCAAATTTGGGAGGCTGCAAGCTTCTGGTAAAAAAAGCCAATATAACAACTTGGTGTTTACTTTTTGTCCCCTTACCTACCCAACCCTACCCCAAATCCAAATCGCCACACTTCGGGACCTTTGGTCATATGATCGCCACCTGGTGGTGGACCACCAACATTGCTTTTTTTAAGATAGAAAACCAAAAAAACCCACTGCCATTGAGACAATTCTGACTCATAGTGACCCTATAGGACAGAGTAGAACTGCCCCATAGAGTTTCCAAGGAGCGCCTGGTGGATTCAAACTGCCAACCTTTTGGTTAGCAGCTGTAGCTCTTAACCACTATGCCACCAGCGTTCCCTTATGATAGAGAGGAGCTTATTAAGTCAAAATTGTTGACAAGGAAGAATGTTACTTGTTTATTCATTTAAGCATACTTAACATATCTCTTTTCAGTAGGATTTAAGGTAACTTTCAAAAATACCTAAAATACGGCATGTTCACGTAATTTAATGATACGACTGAAAGAAAGAAAATCAAAGTGGGACATAAAATGAAATCGGGGGAATTGAAGGGCAAAAAGTCCATAACAAAAGGCTATAAAGAACACAACAATCCAAATATGTGTCTCAAATTTAGCTGTAGGCTAACTAGCAGCAGACCCAAAAAAGGATGTGTAATTGCACAATTGTAGGAGTTAAAATGACCACCTTGATTTATTTTAAAATCAGTATTTCATAATCCCCCCTTTAGATTCTGAAATGTAACTCACAGATAATTCAACTTTAGGTAGCAGGTATACTTAAAAGAAAACCAACATAAAGGAAATAAATTCTAACAAAATAAACTAACACATGTAAATGCTTCCCACACAGCTAGACTAGAAGAGAAAAGCACCACCACAAATTTCCAGTTCCCAAGGAGGTTGTCCTGCTCCTGTTGAGAACTACTGATTTAAACAAACCGAGTGTAGTACGGTATAATTATTATTCTTAAGGCCAGTCAGGAGTTTCTGCTGATGGACCTCGTAAAGAGGACACGATGTCCTTAATAACATTCTTATAGTGGTCGTGACTATGAGACACAGAAAGGTAGCAGAGTCACATGAGTTAGTGAATAAATGGTCCCCTTTCATTTTCCAGAAGTTTTTCTCTTGGAGATCCAGTTTTGGAAGGAGATGTTTGCATGCTTAGATAAAATACCACACCAACAGATGGTTAAGTTGACAGGCACAATGATTTGGAGATAAGATTCTGTGCTATGTAACTGATAAGCACCATTCTGTTCTTATTTATTAACTGAGGAAAAGTCTGATTTCATAATCAGATTTGCTAATCTCTTCCTAAAGTACGTACTGCCTACCATGAAAAGAAAATCAAAACAGTTACAACAGCCAGAGGGCAGTGTGAACATTGTTCTTGATGTACCTTTCCAGAAGTAAATGCTTTTAGGAACATCTACAGATCTTCCATTTCCACTGACTGATTCAATAAAACTGTAAACGTCTTCTCTTAAAGAGTGCATTGGGATCCCTAAGGGAAACTGCAGATATAAGTGAAAGAGGAGTGATTTTTTTTTTTTCTTTTAAATGAGGGAGCTGTACGAATTGAATGTTAATGAATTACCGATGAGAGAATTTAAGGATTCCACTCGCTGAAGGAGAGTTCCATGCAGAGTATTGTAAGAAAGTGACCTGGCTAAAATGTAGAGAAATAGACTGTTTGTAAGTAACTTGATTGTGCAGAGTATTCATGAAATTTTTTTGTCTTTTATTTTTAGCTTTCAGTGTTGATGGAAGGTCATGATGATGAGGTCTACGTTTAGGATACGTTTACTTGTACTCACATCAGAACTTGTCTTTTTTGTAACTTTTTTCTTGGGTTTCAGGATGCTATGGTCTTGGCTCTGCAGAGTGTAATGGAGCTCCAGGAAATATCGTACAATAAAGATGAGGAAGAGGGTGGCTATTCAGAGACCCCAAATAAAGCCCCAAATCCCTGCAATGACTTTGTAAGTTATTCATATTCACAGATAAATGCCAATTAAATAGTAGGGTTAAAAGAAAACCTGCCTTTCATTTCTTTTTCAGAGTTAAAAATAAAACTTGCACTAAAGTAAATACTAATGTCAAAATTAGTAGGTTTAAGTAGGAGATTTTTCTAGTCGTTAAATATTTTTCAAGTGGCTTAGTGAGGATTTTACTATAGTTGAAATTTAAGAGGATCCCAGATTGTGTTTCTAGGGGTGTCAGTGTTTGTGCAGCTTTTTAAATCAAAATTTAGCTTAAGTCTGCATATGATATTTCAAATATTTATTAAGTCATAATGCTTTGATTTTCTTAAAGGAGTCTCTGGAAACCTTACAGGAGAAGGGTAGGTACTCTCTGAAGATGTGATTCTTATGAACACTGGAAAGCAAATCTTTCTATTGAGAGCTTTTACCAAAGAGCCATAAGTCATATTATTTCTTCTTTTCTGTGCTAAAATATTTCTTTTTTAAGAATCCTGTAAAATATAGCTGGGGGATCATAAAAATGTGCTTCAGCCAATAAAATATTTGAGTGGTTAGCTAGTCTGAGTAATACTGATGGCAATTTACTGTCTTGTGTTTCTATATGTATTATTATCTCATGTTTATAAATATCATATAAAAGGTATCAATAGAGTCCTTTCATCATCTTTAAAATCCTTGAATGTTTGGCATTATTGACATTTGGGGTCAGACCAATCTTCATTGAGTGGCCCTTGTGTTGAAGGATGTTTCTGGCTCCCAAAGCTCTAAATCCCAGTAACGTCCCCCGACCTTAAGTCAATGTAACAATCAATGAATAGCCTTACACATTTCTAAAGCACAGGAAGTGATACAACCCTGTAGAAAACCACCTACAAGTATTTTGCTTTCTTGGCACTGAGGAATAGAAAGCCAAGGTTACATCTGAACTAAGATGATAGATAAATAGGTAAGTTTTTACAATATATGTTTAATGGAATAAGTGTGGCTAGATCTTGATGTATTTCCTGGACTTAATTACAGAGAGCACACTCTAGAAAAGTCCTTAGGGTTTTTCTCTTTAGCCCAAATAATTAACTAAATCAGTAAGTACATATTGGCACCATGCAGGAGCAAGGCATATAGCTTCTCCCTCAGCAAGCATGTTCCAGAATTTGATGAAATGAAGAAAGAGGGGACCTCTGAACCTTGCATAAAAGCGTAAGATGGTAAGTTAGGCTAAACTAAATAATTATTAGAAAGCTCAATATTCAAAAGCAACTTTTTATGGAAAATAGAATTCTTTTTAAAATCAAGTATTAACTCAAAATCTATCTAATGACAGAGCAATTGTTATATAACCGTAAATGATATCTACACATTTTGTAAAGGGTAAAATATTAAAATAAAATCTGATTCTGATTTGTTCCAGCCATACCCTATGCATGGATGAATCAGTTCATGCCTATGGGTCACTGGGAAGATATATTGTAATTAGATTACTCGTACCATCCAGTCAAGTCACAAACAGTAATTTATCCCAGATACAGTAAACATTATTTGCACATTAAGCGGTCTGCAGGTACATATTGATTATCTCATAAGCTAGACATCAAATTTGATCTGTGTTGGCTATTCCTGGTGCCAATAAGAGACTGGTTTTCCTTCTCTTTGAGATTTCCCATGAGTTCAAACTAAGTTACCAGGGGCCATGTAAATTAATTAATACAAGCTGCTGTTCAGATACTGATTCCCTAGGACATGTTGGGAGGTACAAAGAGAAAACTACTTGCAAATTGCCATAAAATAATCATGTAACCTAAGAGTATATTAAAAACATAATTACAGCTAGATGTTCATTACTACTCAGAAAACATATGATAAATAGCAAAGTAGGACAGTCAGCAAGCAGGGCACTAGTGTATCCAGAACGGAGAGAGAAGAAAGAGAAATAGAAGAAATTGAGTCTAGGGTGCTCAGGTACTGGTATAAGGTTAGACATTACTATAAAGTTCATTCTCAATGATTCAGTCCTAAAAATGCAGCAACTTAAGACACAGAATCAGGCATCAGCTTAACCTTTCAGTGTATTTCAGTAGAAGATAATAGCTTTGTGGTCTTTTCTATCACAGCAGTAAAAAACCTATATTAGCGAATACTATCTGTGTAGGGGAGACTTGGTGGCTCAGTGGTTAAGAGTTATGGCTGCAAACCAAAAGGTTGGTGGTTTGAATCCACCAGCCACTCCTTGGAAACCCTGTGGGGAAGTTCTACTCTGTCCTGTAGGGTCATTATGAGTCGGAATTGGCTCTTCTGCAACAGGTTATCTGTATAGGAGGAGCCCTGGTGGCACAGTGGGTAAGTGCTCAGCTGCTTACTGCAAGGTCGGTGGTTCAAATTCACCAGCCTCTCCAAGGGAGAAAGATGTGGCAGTCTGCTTTTATAAAGATTTACAGCCTTGAAAACCCCATGGGGCAGGTCTACTCTGTCCTATAGGGTCGCTGTGAGTCTGAATCCACCTGAAGGCAATGGGTTTGGCTTTTTGGTTATCTGTGTAGGAGAGTCTCTGGGTGTTGCAGTTAACGTGTTCAGCTGCTAACTGAAAAGTTGGAGGTTTGAGTCTACCCAGAGGTGCCTTGGAAGAAAGGCCTGGTGATCTGCTTCTGAAAAATCAGTGATTGAAAACCCTATGGAACACAGTTCTACCCTAACACACATGGGGTTGGCATGAGCTGGAATAGACTCAATGGCAACCAGCTTTTATATGTCTAGGGATGCAATTCCACCACTACAAATATGTCCCCAGGCTAGGTAGAATGTTGGGGCAAATATGGGAGAAATAGAGTACAGTCTCCCCTAAGATTGACTACATCCCCTTTACTGCCAGAAAAGGGGGTGAGTGATACTGTGAATTATTTACATAGTCTTGGTAGTCAAAGGATGGCGTAAACTCCATACGCTGGAGTAACTCAGCTTGGCTCTGGGATTAGAAAGAAGGGGAAGGTGAGTGTGCTGAAGGAGATGACCCCAATCACAAAATCATTGACTGTAGAGAGACCTGTAGAGTGTTTGGGGAGGTTGGTGAGCTGGCTTTAACTGTATTTCTCTTCCTGCTCATTCTTCAGATTGAATGTTAGAGTCTAGGGCCCCTGTTTTAAGTCCTTGAATGGGTTTAGTTACACCAATTAAAAAAAAAAAAAAAAAAAGGAAAAGACCTGATTCTGTTTCAACTTGCTAGATTTTAGCTTGGTTTCCTTTATGCTATGCTCCTACAGGAGCGTACTGACAATAGCGCTGGACATGGTCAGGGTTATTCCTTTCTCTGTAACAGGCTTGTGTTTCTTTTGGCAGGCGGCTCATTTACAGAGGCTCGTCCTGATCCCCCTGTCAGCCCTGCTGTCCTTATTCCCAGGGCCTCAGAAGCTCATCCAGAAACGCTATGACAAACTGCTGGATTACAACAGCTACCTGCAACGGTCAGCGGGAGATGAGTCAGACCTGGCCAAAAAGGAGTATGAGGCCCTCAACGCCCAGCTGGTCGAGGAGCTCCAGGTGTTCAACCAGGCTGCTCGGAAGATTCTGTTCAATTGTCTGTGCAGTTTCAGCACCCTCCTCAGGGACCTGATGCTCGTGGCGCAGCGGGCTTATTCTGCAGCGGTGCCGGTAAGCACAGCACCAGCAGCTGGCTACCCTGGCCTCCAGGATGGATTAGAAACCACGCCCAAGCAAAACAAAGCCCTGCTCTCTGTGTGGTTTAGCTTTGTTTTTCAATAACCGAAGTCAGTCAAGTAGTCTTTTGCTCCTTATCTCTCTTCCGCACAGGAAGCTAAAAGTCAGTTTCCTAGTTCAGGTTTACTGTGCTTACACACATATAGTTCTTTTTGGAGATTATCTTGCAAATACCAAGAACCTTTCAGTTTCACTCCACTCAGCCAAAATACACCTGCCTGATGTTACATTTAAGTTCATCTGTTTACATTTTGTGTTCTGTTTCCACTCAGGAGTCCTTAAATGTTAGCCATGACTATTTGAGATGTGGATCCAAAAAGGCCATCTCAGTGTAAAGACAGAAACAGGATAACTGTCAAACTACCCTTTATTTTGCTTTTGGTTTTCTTTAAGGGAGAGAAGCCTGATATATATTTTTATATACAAAAAATAAATGTTATAATAATATATCATATTATATGTAATTAATATGTGATACATAATAATACATATTTTATATATAATTTATGTAAATATTAACTTATATTTTTATATGTAATGGGAGAAGGAGTTTAACATTTAGCTTTCCATTAGCCAGGATATGATTTTTTAATTATTTTCCCTCCTAAAGAAGAAGAAAGAGCTTTAAAATCCAGTATCAACTCAAAAAAAAAGTCACCTTGGTTTCTGTAATTTTTCCCTGTATTTCAAGTGTATTAGTTCCCATTAAGCTACTTCATCCAGGATAACAAAAATATAAGATTTCCAGATTAGGTGCTGAACTCACAGCATTTGGAGGAGAATTAATCATTCCTGCTCTATTTTTTTATTATGTAGCTAATTAAATTTCAACTTATTCTTGGAATTAAATAGGTGCTACATTTTCATGTTTCAAAAGTCAAAACTATAAAAATATATAAGCTGTCTCACACTCACTCAAGTCATTAACCTCCCCACATCCCACCCTTCCTTCCAGAAATCATTTTATTAGTTTATTTTTATCCATCTAGTAGTACATCCTGGAGATGCTTCCGTGTCGCTGCACAGAGAGCTTCCTCGTTCTTTTTACAGCTGTATAGTAGTCTATTGCAGTGGTTAAGGGAGCCCTGGTGGCACAGTGGTTAAAACAATTGGCTGCTAACCAAAAAAGGTCAGCGGTTTGATCCCATTAGCTGCTGCATGGGAGAAAGATGTGGCAGTCTGCTTTCATAAAGATTTACAGCCTTGGAAACCTTAGGGGGCCATTCTCCTCTGTCCTATAGAGTCACTGTGAGTCAGAATTGACTTGACAGCAATGGGTTTTTGTTAACTGCAATGGTTTGTGCTCGACTACAAACCTAAAGGTTAGCAGTTTGAATCCACCCGGTGGCGCCATAGAAGAAAGCCCTGGCGATCTACTTTTGTAAGATTACAGCCATTGCAAACCTTACAGAGCACAGTTCCATTCTGACACAGATGGGGTCGCCATGAGTCAGAATCGACTGACCAGAAACTGGCTTGGTTTGGGTTTTTGGTTGCACAACTACAAGAGTTTATAACAAGTCCCCCATTTTTTTTAACAACTCTGTTGAGATATAATTCATGTACCATACATTTTATAAATTTAAGTATACAATTCAAAGGTTTTTACTATATTCAAAGAGTTTTGCAAACATTATCACAATCAACTTTACCACATTTTCATCAACACAAAATGAAATTCCAAACACATTAGCAGTCACACCCAATTTTCCCCCTACCTCCCCAGCCCTAGTCAATCACCAATCTTCATGTCTCTATGAATTTACCTATTGAGGACACTTCATATAAATGGAATCATACAATATACATTGCTTTGTGACTGGCTTCTTTCACTTAACATAATATTTTCGAGGTTGAGCCCTGTTGTAGCATGTATTAGTACTTCATTTCTTTTTATTTCTGAATAATATTCCATTGTATGAATATATCACATTTTATTTATCCATTCATCAGATGATTGACATTTGAGTTGTTTTCACGTTTTGGCTGTTCCACCTGCTATGAACATTCATGTACACATTTTTGTATGGATGTATGTTTTCATTTCTCTTGGCTACATACCTAGGAGTGGAATTGCTGGGTCATGTGGTAACTCTTTTTAACCTTTTGAAGAACTTCTAGAATCTTTTCCAAAGTGGCTGCGCCATTTTATATTCCCCAAAGCAGTATATAAGTGTTCCTTTTTCTCCAAATCCTTGCCCGCACTTGTTACCTGTGTTTTTGATTACAGCCATCCTATTAGGTGTGAAACGGTAATCTCATTTTGGTTTCGATTTGCATTTCCCTAATCAGCCCCCTATTTTTAAACTTTTTAAATTGAAGTATAATATAGACAATAAAGTGCACCGGTGTGAACTGTACACTCAGTCAGTATATACATATGTACACGTCTGTGTAACCAGCCCCCAGATCAAGATATAAGCACTTTCTAGCTCTCCATAGGCTTTCTTATGGCCACGCCCACCCCATAGGACCCCCAAAACTTCTCTTCTGACCTCTCTAACCATAGACTATTTTTCATTTTTTTAAAATTTTATTCTACTTTAGGTGTAAGTTTACAGCTCAAGTTAATTTCTCATACAAAAATTTATACACATATTGTTTTGTGACATTATTTGCAGTCCCCACAATGCAACAGCACACTCCCCCTTTCCACCCTGGGCTCACTGTGTGCATTCAACCAGTTTCTGTCCCTTCCTGCCTTCTCATCCTGCTTCTGGGCAAGAGCCGCTCATTTGGTCTCATGTATCTGATTGAACTAAGAAGCACACTCCTCATGTGTATTATTTTTTGTTTTATAGTCCTGTGTAATCTTTGTCCAAAGAGTGGGCTTCGGGAAGGGTTTCAGTTCTGGGTTAACAGAATGTCCAGGAGCCATAGTTTCGGGGATAGTTTCTGTCAGATCATTAAGTCTGGCCTTTTTACATGAGTTTCAATATTGCTCCACACTTTTCTCTTGCTCTGTCTGGGACTCTCTGTTGTATTCCCTGTCAGGGCAGTCATTTGTGGTAGCTGGGCACCGTCTAGTTATTCTGGTCTCAGGCTGGTAGAGTCTCTGATTTACGTGGACCTTTAGTCTCTTGGGCTAATATTTTCCTTGTGTATTTGGTGTTCTTCATTCTCCTTTGCTCCAAGTGGGATGGGACCAATAGATGCATCTAAGATGGCAAGCTTTTAAGACCCCAGATGCCACTCACCAAAGTGGGATGCAGAACATTTTCTTAATAATCTTTGTTATGCTTGTTCATAAACTTTGCTATGCCAATTGACCTAGATATCCCCTGAAACTATACTTTCATTGGTGGTAGCCGGGCACCATCTAGTTCTTCTGGTCTCATATTTTGCCTGTTTTTGTATTTCACATAAGTGAAATCATATAATATGTACTCTTTTGTGTCTTAACCAGTCCCTGTTGATGGATATTTGGGCTATTCCTAATCTTTTTCTATCACAAGTAATGTCACCACTAAAAGACAGTTTCTACAATGGTGCAAAATCCTTTGGTACAAGGGTCATTTTATTCATGGGCAGGTATATCTTTATGAGACATTTCTTGAAGTGGGATCTCTGGGTCCAAGGGTAAATACATACGTGATTTTGCTAGATGTTGCCAGATTCCCTGCTTTTGGATTGTATCATTTTGAATACCCACAAACAACATATAAGAGTGCTGGTTTCCTTGGATTTTTGCCAATCTGATAGGTTTCACAACCTAAAACCAGTTCCAGTCAAGTTGATTTCCATTCATGGAGACCTCCGATATGCCAAAGTAGAACTGTGCTCCACAGGACTGTCATTGGCTGATTGTTTTGATGCAGATTGCCAGGGCTTTCTTTTGAGGTGTCTCTGGGTGGACTTGAACCTTTCTGTTAGCAACCAAGCGCGTAAACTGTTTGCACCACCCAGGGACTCCAGTGTAATTTTGATTTACATTTTTTTCTAATTATTAGTGAGGTTGAGAATCTTTTCAAGTGTTTGAGGTGTATTTATTTGTCTTTTTCTGTGAGCTAGCTGTTCATGTCTTTTACTCTTTTTCTGATTGAGTTGTTGATATTCTTATCTCAATTTCTAGAAGCAATGTGTATGAAATGAGCCTTTTCTCTGAGATATAAATTGATAATATTTTTCCCATTTTCTTATCTTTTGACTTTGCTTGTGGTATTTTTTTTTTTGGTCATACAGACTTTTTTAATGTTGTCAAATTTATTAGTCTTTTATTTTATGATTTCTAGATTTTGAGGCATTCTAGAAAAAGCTCCCCCTGCTTTGAGGCTCCAAAGGAATTAACCCATGTTTTCCTCTAGTATGTTTATGGTTTCATATTTTTATTTAAATTTTTGATCTATGTAGAATTTATTATGGTTTATGATGTAAGATATAGATCCAACTTTTATCTTTTTTCCAAATGGCTATCTAGTTGTCCCAACACTATTTATTTATTGAAAAGTTATATATTTTTTTTGTTGTTCTTGCTTATATTTTCTCAGTGAAACTTATTTAATTTTCAATTTCTTTAGATAATTTAATTCTTAAGTCTATAGAGAGAGACTTTGTATATACCATATGCTCATGGTGGAAGGCAGGTTCATAAGTTCACAATCAAGCTGAGCTTTGGCAGGAATTCACTAATCAAAGAAGACATGTTATTTTAGGTATCTTTGATCCAAACTTTGAATCAGATTTTTTAAAGGTGGAAGAAGCCCAGGTCTTCATTTTCTGGTTTGAATTATCTAAATATCTTTCACATTGCAGTCCCTAGTAAAACAGGAAGTACTTTGATTTTGAGAAATTACTAATATCCTAATGTAAAAAACATTTTGGAGAAATTTTCCTCATTAATATATTTTCATTATGTATTTATATGCCTTATATACATATTATATATTATGATTATAATATATATATTTAAACTTTTTATTTATAGATTATTGCAG